AGATAACTTTTAGAAACAGTATTCTGTCTAGTACTACAAGACTAAAGACAAAACACTGTAAATAATATTATAATCCAATTAACAAATGTTTTTCACAGATGTATATCAGTTAGTAATTCCAAAACTACTTTATGCAAAACTACTAGGATTGAGCAAATAAAAAATATATTGTGGGGCTCACCAGTTAGCTCTGTTGGTTAGAGCACAGTGTTGATAACAGCAAGGTCAAGGGTTCAGATCCCCATACCAACAAGCAGCCAAAAAAAAAAAAAAAAAAAAAAAAAAAAAAAAAAAAAAAAAAAAAAAAAAAAAAAACACACACACACACACACAGTGAATAATGACAGCTAGATTTCTCACTGTTAGAGCAGAGTTATATTATAAATAAGGAAAGGGGGAAAGGTAAAATTAGACCTGTGATGTTGGATTGAGATCAGAAATATAAGAACTCATAGATTTTAATGTACATACAGATAGACATAGAAATAAATATAGACGTTTCAGTAGGGATAGATTAGTATATATAAATGTACTTTTTAACTCTGTACACTGTAAAGGCCTAGAAACAATAACACCCCAGTAGCAATGAGCACACCTAGAGACCAGCTGCTGATTTCTAAACACCATTCTCCAATAACAGGAACCAGGGCTCCTTGGAGAAATGGTTGATTACAGGTCTGGAACACAGATAACTCAAGATTAGTGTGGTATATCTTGTGGAGCCAGAAAGTAAGGTGTGCTCAAAAAACAATGGTGGCATGTTTAAAGGACACAGGAGCCAACTTGAAAGACCTGCATACAAAATGCCCCAAAACTTGGTGGCTTAACATAAAAACTTATTACGTCAGATTTTATGGATTAGGAATCCAGGCACAGATTAATTTGGTTCTATTATAGGCTGAATTGTGTTCCCACCAAAACTCATATATTGAAGCCCTAATCCCCAATACCTCAGAATACAACTGTATTTGGAGATATGGCCTTTAAAATAACAATCAAGTTAAAATGAGAACATTAGGGTAAGCCCTAATCCAATCTGACAGGTGTCCTTATAAAAAGAGGAAATATGGACACAGAAACACCAAGATCATGCACACACACACACAGAAAAGACCATGTGAAAACACAATGAGAAGGCAGTCACCTGCAAGCCAAGAAGAGAGACCTCAGAACAAACTAAACCTGCCATCACCTTGATCTTGGACTTCTAGCCTTCAGAACTGTGAGAAAATAAGTTTCTGCTGTTTCTCATGAGGTTGCAGTCAATCTATCAGCCAGGATCATCTCAAGGCTTGACTAAAGAAGAATCCACTTCCAAGCTTACTCACATGGCTGTTGGCAAGATTCAGCTGTTGGCAGGATTCAGTTCCTTGTGGGCTGTTGGACTTGTTAAATAAAACTTACAGAAGGCCATTGTTTTGAACTAAGTTCCTGCATTAGGCTCCAAAAGACCAAACTAAGAAATCAAAATGGAGTCACCCCTACTAAAGTTCCACATCACCAAACTTAAGTTATTGTCTAACCTTTCAGAAAATCAGAGAAAAAGACAATTTCCCAAACAGACCAATTTTAATCTTCAATAGGCATGATGATGAAGTACTCTCTGCTTTAATCCTTACATAAAAGAAGTCACTTGAAGTAAACTGATGTTAAATAATCAGTTATTTTTCTACTGTCCTGTCTCCCCATCCCCACCTTACAAGGAAAGTTGTTTTCTGTCCTTTTGATTACAGCCATCACAGAGGGCATGAGGTGATATCTTACTGTGGCTTTGATTTGCATTTCCCCAATGACTAATGATTTTTTTTTTAATGTGCTTATTGGACAGTTGTATATTTTCATTGATGAAATGTCCATTTCCTCAAAAAGTCTTTTGCCCAGTTTTTAATTAGGTTATTTGACTTTTTTATTGAGTAGTAAGAGTTTTTCATATATTCTGGATCCCAGACCCATTATCAGTTCTACGATTTGCAAATATTTTCTCCCATTCTGTGGGTTGTCTTTTTGATTTCCTGATGGTGTTGTGTGAAACACAAAAGTTTTAAATTTTTATGACATCAAATTTATCAATGTTTAAATAATTTGTATATTATTTTAGTGACATTTCTATACATCTGAAATTATTTCAAAGTTAATAAATTAAACATCACATATAAGCATAGCAAAAAGTTTAGAAAACTATGCACTAAACTACCAACAGAAAGTAGAAATAGAATTCTTCATTTTCTGTTCTACATAATTCTGTTTCTTTCTTTTCTGGATTATACAAATGATGCAAATTCTCTGTGGAAATTTGGAAATTAACATCATTAGCAAACCTACCATCCAGAAATAAAATTTAAAAACATCATTATCAGGGCCAGCCCGTGGCTCACTTGGGAGACTGTGGTGCTGATAACACTAAGGCCACGGGTTCGGATCCCTATATAGGGATGGCCAGTTAGCTCATTTGGGAGAGCATGGTGCTGACAACACCAAGTCAAAGGTTAAGATCCCCTTACCAGTCATTTAAAAAAAAAATTATAAAAACTTAGGATCACCTGTGGTATGGGGAAGGAAAGCTACATTAACAATGTGAAGATGGATGACCCTGTATTGTAAAGATGTGACACCAACAGGAGGTGTTCCATCTAGGCCATTCAGGGGGTAATGCTTCAGCTGGCTTTGGAAGATGAGTGATGGCTCTGCTTTAGAGGGAAAAAAAAAAAAGAGGTAGCTTTCCAGACCAAGGACAGCCAAGAGTAAAGGAATGTGGATGAGGCACTGATGGATAACCTTGATAGTCAGCTGGGCTAGAGGTCAGCGAGGAAGGAGGTAAGGCTGGAGGACACCAGATTTTGAACGGCCCTGGATGACAGAACATAATCCTGCAGGCAGTGGGGCTTCCTTTAAGAGTTTGGGGCAAGAATGCAGCATGATAATATTTACATTTTAGGGAGATAGTTCATGAAGTTGTGTGGAGGACAGATTAGGTGAATGGAAAATGGACGCCAAGGATATGGCGAGGAGACCATCAGAATATTTGTAATTCATTTTACATCCTGAATACACACATTTAGGTGACCATATATCCAGGCTTGCCAGAGACAATCCCAGATTACACCTTTGGTCCTAGAGTGATTATATCAGCACCCCCTTTCATGCTCAAAAGTGTCTTAGTCTGGGCCAGTCCGTGGCTCACTCAGGAGAGTGCAGCGCTGGTAGCGCCGAGGCCGCAGGTTCGGATCCTATATAAGGATGGCCGGTTAGCTCACTAGTAGCTGAACGTGCTGCAGACCACACCGTGCTGAGGGTTGCGATCCCCTTACCGGTAAAAAAAAAAAAAGTGTCTTAGTCTAAAGAATAAATATTATCTACATCCAAACACATCAACAGAACTTTCGCAATTCTTACCTTTACTACGTGAGATGCACTCGTATTTTATATTTTATCCCATTTCATTCTTTTTAACTGTTGGAAGCAACCCATTAAACTGATTCCGTGACACACTAATTAGTTCATAACCCATAGTTTGAAAAACTGACCTAGACGCCTGATTGGTCTTGGGAAAAGGGAAAGAAAACAGAGAATTAAGTTTGGGATATGCACAGATTAAGGCCGTGATTCTCCACCTTAACAGTGCATTAAATTCACCCAAAGGGCTACTGAACATGCACATCTCCAGTCCCACTGCATATGGTTATGTGTGTGTTTCTGTACATACATCTCCATGGAAATAATGTTAAAAGGGTATGTATACTCACAGAGTTGAGAACCACTACTCTCAGGTGTCATGTGACAGCCTGAGAATCAGCCCAGGAGGTGAGGACAGGGGGCATAGCGTGTAGCACCTCACAGTGACATGAACCAGCCCGTCCTCTCCGCCGGCTTCCCTGGGCCCTCGCTGACCAGAGGTAAAACCGCAGAACTAGGGGCAGCAGGCCGCGTAGCCGACCGGAGGAAGGATGGCTGCCCCTCCGCCGCGCCTGGAACGCCGCAAGCGCGACCACGGCCCCACAGTGCACCGCAGCG